TATTAAAAGGACATTAAAATCGTCCAAAGTTGATTTCAAAACTTTTCAACAATTTTTCGCTAATATCTCGAAAACTAAAGCTTTCCGCGAAATTTTTATATGAACAAAATTGTTCAGAATCATGTCCGTGATAAGATATTAAAAGCGCACTAAAATCGAGAAAACTTTATTTCAAAAGTTGCCGGTTTTTTTGCAATAACAATACTTTGCAATTAAAAAATGAAAAATTTTTTGATAATGGTACCAATGGGGAGTCAGAACCTACCAAATGCAAAAGGTTTCGTTCCGATCGGTCCATCCAGCTAGGCGTAATCGGCGGGCACACATAAAAAAAAAAAAAAAGATATATATTGTATATATACATATACTGATCGAATTGATAACCTCCTCCTTTTTCGAAGTCGGTTAAAAAGCGGATGGCCTGTGTCGACCGTTTGTTAATTTCTATTTTCTAACAGTAGTAATTGACTGAAGCAGACTGAAAATACTTATGTTTAAATACCAACTTTACAAAAACCAGTCTGCACTTACCTTACTTCACCTTATCTTTATATAAAACGGCTTAGCCGTTTCCAGCCGGCAATTATGTGAGAAGATGGCAAGGTGCACCCCTATACATATGGTATCAAAATGTTCGTCTATGGCCACAGGTGTGCAAGTTTGTGTTATTTTTTTGATATCCACTATCACTGATGAACAAGGTGATGTCAAGGATGGCATACTATGTTAAAAAAGAAACTTAAAATATCTTAGAAATTATCGTTTTTTTTTTACCATTATACCCTAATACTTTTTTATTCAGAATATTTCAGAGAATCGATTTATCTATGAAAAACTATATAGTTCCATTTAAAAAATTATGGGTCATTTTCGTTCCTTCAAAAATATTACAAATATAAAAAAAGTGCACACACTATTATATCGGCAATGAAGAACAGTAAAACTTTTTCCTCTTTCATTTTGTTAAGAAACTTATTATTAACAAACAAACAAATAAACAAACTTTCGGAACCAATTCCAAATTATCAAACTAAGACACATGACAACCGATTTGAAATTGGGACAGGTTCGTTTAAAGTTACTCACCAATGGATAGATAATTATTTGAAAGGCAATTCGATTTCCAATTTCGACAACTTTGTCATTCCTCGCATTGATAAACAATAAACTCACTTTACTCGCGTAGCGAGTGTACACTGCTAGTTTTAATAATGTTAACACATTTGTGACCGTTGAATTCACGTCATTTGAAATTCTATTTCTGGTTGCTGCTGACATAAATTCACGTCCTATAATTTTTGTTAAAAAAAATAATTAATAAACAGGAAGAACAATGTATATTATTTTTATTATTATTTTAATTATTATTTATTTTGTATTTATTATTATGCATTTATACGCAGCATCTTATGACGCATATATTTTGGAGTTACCACCGAAGCAGCCATCTCATCAACAGCAGCAACAACAACCTCAACAACAGCAGCAGGTACAACAACAACAGCAACAGCTACCTCAACAACCCCAACAACAACCTCAACAACAGCAGCAGGTACAACAACAACAGCTGCAACAAGGCGAGAAAACGCGCGTGACGGGTGTAAGTGTATTATTTAATCATATGTACAATAAATCTGTTAAACAGTATGTGATTTGTTATCATTTCGTCATGATATTCTGTGAATGCGAAAGATATTTTTTTCCTATTCCAGATACAAAACCGCCGACGGCGACACCGTCAGAACCTTCAAAGATTGCAAAAGCAGCTGAAAAAGTTGCAGGAAATTGTTGCAAATATAAGACGCAGACGAGGCCGCGGGCGAGATCGTAGATGTAGGCGCGGGCGGGGCCAAGGGTGGGGCAACGGGTGGGGCCTGGGATCGGTCGCGGGATGGACCACGAGATGGAATCCGGGATGGGACTCATTCCCTACATATTACAAAAAATTTCCTAAAGGATATTATCTATATATATAAAAATGGAAGTTTATACGAAATTAATAGACTTCGACACCCTTTGACAAAGTGCAGTGAAAGTTGGCACATATATGTATTTTTTCATGGAGAAGGTTTTTAGGTTTTAAGAAATGGTTGGGGCAAAAAGGAGCGTGGCAAACCAAGATTTCAGTTCATTAAACAGTAATAATTCAAAAGAAAAAAAAGGACACACGCGCATTCGACTCTGCTCTGTACACTTATAGTACTTAATATGTCTTCGCTCGATTGTCTATCTACTATAAGAGCCGCCGGTTACATGCATACGTATACATGTACTCTCACCCTCTCGCTGTTGCACTCTCGCATTTCCGCTCTGACGATTATTATCCTTTTTCGTACCGTTTGTTCAGCACCGTGCATGTTTTGAGTTCTCCGTTCGAAACTCGGTAACGATTGCTGGTTGACAAAAACAATATTTTCGGAGGAGACAGTAACCGACATTAAACCGACGATTAAATTTTAACCCATTCGAAATCGATTGCATTCCGTGTGTGCAGTTGATTTCCGAGGCTATAAGACCGGTTGGACCCCAGGTGTGCTATAGTAGTAATGAGCAATTCTCAGTAATTCTGAGTAAAGTTAAAGTTGAGGTACGATTTTTTTTGTGTTAATAACTTCTGTAAAATACAGAAAAACAAAATTTGGCATCGGTTCTGTTGCGTACCAAAAGAAAATAAAACATTTTTGTTGAATTTTCGAAACCCACATTTTCAGAAAATATCAATCCAGGAACTGTAATTCCATTTATCAAATCTATCACCAACAGCAATAGTATCGTCTTCTATTCATACTATAAATTATGAATATACTTCAAATTATGAATATGCAGGCTGTACAAGCTTAAGGTAATAAGTTTTTTTCTCTTCTTTGACCCAGCACTCTGTATCTTTTTATCCGAAAACACGAACATAAATAACGATGCGTCCAGTTCAGTTCTTATGTAACTATTTTTACCTTACATTGTACTTACACATGGTGTTCAATCCGCTCTTCGCAATAAAAATATTGTGGGGTTATACACAGTGTACAATCATCTTATTTATGCGAATTCACTTATGACTTGGGCGATTTCCATAGTAAAAAAATTTTTTTATTAAAAATGAACAATATAAAGAAAAAAAAATTTCGCTCCTATGTTCGCTTATCGTTTCCTTTACTTTGTCTTTCTTGTACACATTCTTAAACAAAAATAACTTTCATTTATTTCTATTCATTTTTATTTAATAATTAATATTTAAATTAGTTGTTCATTTGTACGCAGTTGCGTTCAAAACTACTGCAATGAATTGGGAAAAATACTGTTCCTTATTAAAGATAAAAATGATATAATATAAAATATTTCTATATTTCGGTAAAAACTGGATAACTGCAAAAAATTTGGACCCAAGCATTGCAGTTATTCCTCGAGGTGTCGATTCTGGGTTTACAATTAGCTCAAGTCGAGCTTCGAACGTAGAAAAGAAGTAACAATATTAATGCAACAATAAAACTTTTTTTATTTTTTAATTTCGTTGAATGATACTCTCACCGATGTAATTGTGAAATTCTTCTGATTAAAATAAGACCAAAGACGACGTAATTCGAGACATATTTACTTGAATTACTAGCATCTAACTTATACTAAATGCATCACTGCAATAAATTATTGCAGTATATCCTAAATTACGTCATATTGTCTTACTTTAATCAGAAGAATCTTACAATTACATGTGTGAAAGTATCATTGAAAATATAAAATTTCTTTTTAAAGTTGTTTTATTTCATATTTTTTTCACATAGAAGGACAACTATGTATAATGCAGCGAATGAATCGGCATGAATGAATACATGTAATGACGCGTATTTGAGCGCTCGTACAAAACAAAACAAAAATTAAAATAGCTCTATGTATATCTTTTATTTTATTCAATCCTCTGCTCATAAGGAATATTCAGTGCTTCTCAATACGATTCCTTTTTGCATTTTAAATGCATACGGAATTATGTTTAAATTAAATGTCGTCTTCGGAAAACTAAATGTCGCGTAGACCATTGTCGTTGTTACGCAAACGCACTTAAGAAACATATTGAACCGGAACACACCGATTTAAATGAAACTTATGTGAAAGATAGTTTTCAAGAAAATATTTGACAAATATTTTTTGTATTGGCCATTGTTTGCATTGAAGGGGTGATAATTGCCCTCAAAGTTAAGAACTGAAATTATATTTTTGGGAATATCTCCGGAATTAAAGGAGATAATTGGAAGATTTTTTTTGAACTGTGAGTCTGTGAACTGTATTATTTGTTTAAATAAAATTTTGAAAATTTATAGTTTTTCTTTAAATTTTTTTACTAAATGTTAAACTATTTTTTGCAACTTTGTGTACGATAACTACGAAATAGAATAGAGAATACATGTTTTTAAAATTTGTTATTTTTAGCGATGCTTATTACATGTATAATTTGAAATCACCTCTTTTGAAAAAGGGCTATCAACGTTTTTTATTGAAAATATCATCATTTTTACAATTTTTTACAATATTCTGGGCATTATATGCCTCTTCATATGCCGTTAATGGATTCTTCAGCAATTATTGTAAGCATCGCAGATATAGTCGTACCAAGCCAATGTTCCTCGCGGCGGGTTTAAAAGCGCGTCACCCGCCGCGAGGAACATTGGCTTTTATGGTAAATACTAATTTTATACTTTTACGGGAGTAAAGTCTTCAGTCCAAATACAATATGTAGAACTTTTGGAAAATTTGAGATTTTTAAGAAATTAAGAAAAAACAATTAAATTTTTTTTTAGCAATATCGGTCATAAAAGTAGTAACGTCGGGCAGAAATCTCGTTAAAAATATTCATCTTCTTCAATTAATAAACTTTGCGATTAAGTGAGGTGAAGAAAAAGAGATTTTAGCACGATACGAATTGGAGAACATTTTGGGAATAAAAATGCCATTGGCGTTTAGAATTCGTGTTTTCCACATTTTTGAAAAATAGATATCTACAATCTTTGTCTTTTCTAACCAAAAACATATAAAATAGACAAAGATCCACCGAACTTCTGCAAGTCACCGCATGAGGTCACACCTGAGCTTTTGTCACTAAACTCTCTGAGATCAGCTGGAGTATAGCAAAATGTATTATAGTGCTTTTTGTATAATGATTCTGTTCTGTTCTTTATTTTCTCTTTCGAGAGGGCGCTTGGGAGGTTGTATAATGATTCTATCTAATCTTAGTTACAAGTGATTCAAAACAAAAACAAATGGAACTGGAAACAGTACTTCGAAAATGTGCTGTAGCAAATAAATGTAAGTTAATATTTATTAATGATAATTAATGCTCAACAAGTTAATATTTGTTAATAATAGTGATTGTTAAGTGTATATTTTATTATCATTCAATATAAATGTATATCATGAGTACACAATAATTTTGCAGCAGAAGAACAATTGGAAGAACATGAAAAAAAAGAAGACGAATATTTTCAAAAAATATATGAACAGTGGAAGGGCGCCAAAGCTAAAGATAAAGACTTAACTTATAAAGTGATTCCTAAGTTTTATTTCAAGGTACTGTGTGTAAATTAAAAATCTGTAGAGAAGTATTTAAAAATGTTATTTTCTAATATGTTCTGTTTACCTCAGCTACCAAAAGAAGATGAAATTTTGCCACAAAAATTACGAGAAGAAACACGAGCTTTATTCCTGCAAAGGCGTTCACGACAATTACTTGATAACAATGAACTGAAAGCATTATGGGTACTTTTGGATAAACATCATAGTCCACCTTTATCGGGGGAAGAACAACTAATAAATTATGAAGATTTTAAGAAAGTGGGTAAATTAGCTGGCACAAAATGCAACCCATACTTCACTGCTGTTGTATTTGCTAAATTACAGCAGGGCGATCCTCATGGTAGAATTAGTATAATGGCATTGTTTAATTATGTTATGAGAAAAGTTTGGTTACATCAAACAAGAATTGGTCTTTCTTTATACGATGTTACTGGTCAAGGATATCTCAGAGAATCAGTAAGTTTTTTTAGTATATGTCAATTTATTTTAAATGAAAGAAAAGCAAATATATCATTCTTATTTTTTACAGGATTTAGAAAACTATATTTTGGAATTAATACCAACTTTGCCTCAACTTGAAGGACTTGAAAAATCTTTTCATTCATTTTATGTTTGTACTGCAGTAAGAAAATTTTTATTTTTTCTTGATCCTCTCAGAACTGGTAGAGTTAGAATACAAGATATTTTGGCATGTAGTTTCTTAGATGATTTATTAGAATTAAGAGATGAAGATTTACCTAAAGACCTTCAAGAAGCAAACTGGTTCTCAGCTCCGTCAGCTCTTAAAGTGTATGGACAGTACCTTAATCTTGATAGAGATCATAATGGAATGCTTAACAAAGAGGAACTTGCAGGGTAGTTTACGTGCATTTATAAAATTTATGAAATCTTGACAAGTATATTAATTTTATAATAATTTTTTGATAGATATGGTACAGGAACATTAACTGGAGTATTCCTAGAAAGAGTATTCCAAGAATGTTTAACTTATGAGGGAGAAATGGATTATAAAACATATTTGGACTTCGTTTTAGCATTAGAAAATCGACATGAACCACAAAGTTTACATTATTTGTTTAGAATCCTTGATATTAATAATCGTGGTTATCTTGACACATTTTGCCTTAATTACTTTTTTCGGGTATGTAAAACAATATTTATACACCTTTTTTATATTTTAGAGTGCTATATTATTAATTTTTATATATATAGGCTATACAAGAACAAATGACCATGCATGGTCAAGAACCAGTCAGATTTGAAGATGTGAAAGATGAAATATTTGATATGGTAAAACCTGCAGATCCTTGTAAAATCACGTTGCAAGATTTATTATCATGGTAAATAATTGTTCGATTTTCCGAAAATTTAAAACAAACGCAAATTAGATTCTCTGTTATACATTGTGCAATTTATATTTTTCAGTGGTCAAGGAGATACAATGGTCAGTATTTTAATAGAATTCCATGGTTTCTGGGCATATGAAAATAGGGAAGCTATGGCAGCTGATACAGGTGATGAATCATCCCATGTTTGAAAGAGAAACGTTTACAAAATATGTATGGCACATTCCAGCAAGATTTTATACAAAAGACCATATATGTTTTTAATCTTTTACAAGTATTATTTATGATTTGTATAATCTTGTATCAAGACGTTTAGTAATATTCACAAAAGAATTTGTACTATATATTCTTTGTAATAAAAATATTTTTCTAAAACTACTAAATATTATTAATTCACAATATTTTTAGTAATTAGGATAAATTATATACTTAAAATAGAATTAAAAAAAGGTTGTAGAGGAAGAAATTGAACGATATAAAACGATATATATTTCTACGATTAAAACTTTTATGTGTAAGAAAAAAACAATTTTTATGTGAACTCTTTTTTACAAAAAACTTTGAGTGCATTAACCGATTTTGATGAATCTTTTTTAATTCTTTTTACATAGTAAGAGAATATTATATTGAATTATATATTGAAGAGTAATAAATGGAAGCTTACAGTTTTTACATCTATAACAGATTTTTAAATGAAAAAAGCATGTGCTTCCTTAAGCGGATTTGAAAATGAATGTCAGTGTGCATAATTACAAACTGGAAGGCTAATGACCACGGCAGTCGACGTCCTCAATAATAAACAACAACAACAACAACAAACTGGAAGAAACTGTTATTTTACGAGTGCAATGAGTATATGAAAAGTTCAAATATACATGTTTTCCAGATAAATGTAAATAGATGTTCAAAGCATGAAAAATTTTCTTAGAAATATTTTGAAGAATTTCGAAATTCAATTTTCGCAGAGAGAAAGGCGAGTAATATGAAAAAATGACTTGATCGTTAACCAAGATTTTTCGGACATCCTGTATATATGCGCGTAACAAAAATTTCTTATTTCATTGACCAATGAGAATGTTTCATTTGAAATGGTCCTATGCGAACGTACACTACCCCCCTCCAACAACAGATTTAATGACGTTTACAGCATCGCAGTTGCTCCAATCCTACGAAAAGCTTCGGTTGGTTTTTGTGCGACGCTTCCTATGATGTTTGAATTGTAGGTAAGTATTTTCATGTATTGTTTTAATTTTATCGCGTGAAAGTATCATTATTTTATTCAGAAGTATTTAGTGTGAACTTGTAGTGTTTATTGCATGATTAATATTGACGTAAATGTGCAAAAATAAGAACTGTCACTTTCAGTTTCAAACGCGTTTGATTACTATGGCGGTTGCGTTCAAATTCAACGGTCGAAAATAACTTCCTCCTTTAAAATTGGGACGTTACAATTGTCCAAAAATTCAATAATATCGATATATTTAGGAAAAGTGAATACAAATTTTAGGTTTCAAAATTTCCTTTTAGGTTTACTTAGAGAGTTGGGATTAGGAGAATACCGTTTTCCATACAATGGACCCTTTCACTCAGGTAGGTCTCATTCATTCTATTGCAGTATGCAGATATTATGTAGCGGTAGTTAACGTTCCCATCTACCTGACTATTTTGACCACTGATGACTAACATAGTAATTACTTTTCTCAAACTTTTGTTAACATAATACAGTAACATTCCTTCTTATACATAATGTAAACAATTGATTTGTTGGTATTTTAATTTGATATGTTTATCAAGTGTATTATATATACAAACATAAAAGTTAAAAATACATTTGTTTTTACTCAGAATTCAAAATTGTTATTAGCAAAGAGTATGAATCCAAAATACACTTATAATCAATAACAAATATCTTGGTTTTTACAGACTGTTATTTTTAATGAATTGTATTTTCATTGACTACTTTTGATAATGTAATAAAAATCTATGTGGAATCTCAATGAAATACCAAGAAAAAAGGTTAATTAATCTTTGAAAATGACAGTGTATATAAATACATTTAGATAAAATTTAATTTGATTCCACCTAATTATTCTCTAAAATAGGGCTATAATATGAACTGCCCCCTTTTTTATGTTTAATTTATATAGGAATGCAAGTATCTAAGGATGTAGGATTTTAGATTTTTTAGGATCTATGAATTTTAGGTTTTAGAAATATTAGGATTTAGGCTTTACATAAATTACATGGATAAAAATTATTTTCAACGTAATCATCACTTCAATTAATATTTAAACTGTAATGAAGAAACAGTAAAAATAAATTTCAGTAGAAACATATTTATTTACAACAATTTATTGTTTACATATATTCAATAGTTTCTTATTACTTTATATTTATTTTAAATATTGTCTTTTCTTTCCCCAAAATTAGCATAAAACGATCCTTGAAAATTTTGTAAATTTGTCATTGCGGCAAAAGTAAACAATTCTATTAAAGCTTTTCAAAGATAAATTTATAATAAATATAATAAAATTTTAGTAAACAATTATTAAATAAAATATTTCAGTTGAAATCAATAATTGCATTCAACCCTGTCAAATAACGTTGAATAGTATATTACTCACTTTTTTATTTTAACTAACTTTTAAATAATAATAATAATTAATTTGAATAAATAGAGAATGTTGGAGCGTGCTAGAGCAAGGAGAGAAAAATTAGATACTCAATTATCAAATGCTGGTCATGATGTTAAAAAAAGACGAAGTCCTTTAAAGGATGCAAATGCAATTTTGGCTCAGGCTACAGGTATTAGTATATAATTTTGATTATTTTTTTGTTTGTTATGTAATAATGATTCATGCATAATAAAGTAAAATGTTGATGAATGATAATTTTAATGTATTACGAAATGCTAACAAAATTTATATTTTTTTATAACTTCAAAGTTACTAAGTCTAAAACTCCAACAAAATCTCCTGCTAAAGTATCAACAGAAAGTGTGTCTCCAGTAAAGTCACCCCGGAAATCTCTGGTTAAGAATAATAGTAATGAAAACAAGGAAGATATAAACAAAGAGAATGGAAAGGTTGGAGTTCACAATGTGAGATCAAAACTACAGAGGCTTGGCAAACTGTATTCTGGTAAGCTATATTGCATGGTACACCTACACAGATCAGTTAAAACTGGTTTCTTACACTACTCTACTTTGATACATGTATGTATCTTATTCTTTGCATTTTATGTGTGAATGATAAATACAATTATTTCATAATGGTTGGTCCAGTTTGATATTATTCAGTTAGTACGAAATTCTATATTTGTTATATTATTATTATAAGAAAATTTAATTTATAGATGACAGCAGTAGAGAACTCAGTTCACCTATTCATAGAACAGAAGAAAGGTTCAATGCAGAAGAAGAGGTCATTGAACAGAAACCACAAAAAAGAGGTGCTAGACTGGATAGATTAGCAGCTCTTGCTTCAACTATTAATAATTGGGAAGATGATCTCTCACATCCAACCTTGGTATATTGATTACAAGTACTTTAAAATTATTATTATATTTTAAAAAACTATGTAACATTAAATATTTTTATAGACTAAACCAGTAGAAACTAAAGCAGAGAAAATACAAGCTAAATTAAATGAACAAGTGAAAAATGCGTCAGAACCCCAGCCAAGCACGAGTGGTTACAACAAAGAAAATAGAAATAGTAAAGGCAGTAGTTCCAAGAAAGAAGAAGTATATCATACAAAGCAACTAAAATGGGATAAGTCTACATTGGAATCATTAGTAAGTAGTTCTAATTTATTCTAAATATTATTTTTTTCAACATATATGACTAAAGCTTTTAACAAATTCTCTGTGAATTAAAATAATTGCAACTACTATAATTTATTTTTTCTTACATTCTTTTATACATACTGATAGTAATGAATATGGAGAGGGATATAAATTACAAATGATTAAAGCTGTTAGACAAAAATGCTATTTACAGGAATCTCAAGGCTTTAGTCGTACGAAAAGCAATACTCGCCTTGTATATGACTATAAGGCTTGTTCTCAGGAAAAAAACTCGGTAGCTTCGGGTTCATCTCCACAACATGGGCACAATCAGGAATCTACTACAACGTTTTACGAAAGAGCAGAAAATTCTCCAAAAAATGTTAGTAGCAAAAATTGTAATACTCCAGAGAAAACAAAAAATGCAATGCCTAGCACAAGCGGCACCCGATTGGCACCTAGATATGGATATAATAGCTCTCCTAAAAGTCCAGTTCAGTCTAGTCCAGGTTCAGTGTTGAGCAAAGCTTCGTTATTTGAATCTAAAAATTCTGAAACAAAAGCTAAAGATCCTACACAAATGACGCTTTCTGAGAGGATGGCACTTTTTGAAAAAAATAAAGGCGAACCACCTCTGCTGCCGAAGGCACCACTTACAATGTCAATACCGCCGAAAAAGTTGCAAGAAAAAGACAAGAATAATTCATCGTCAGGAGGTACTTCCAATTTGAAATTAACTATTAAGAGAAATTAGATATACAAGAACATAGAAATTGAAATATTTAGATATTATTTAATTATTTAGTACCAATTATTGAAGGGGAAATAAAATTTTGTTATAGCAAAGGAATGGTCTAAAGCTGATATTCCTAACAATGCTGTTAATGCTCGACGAGAAAAATTTGAACAAGGCTTAAATAAGCAAGAAATGGAAAATGATATTTTACGTACCACTTATTTGGAAAGGCAACGGGAATTGGATATGTTACGTTCGCGTTTCAATAGAAATAAGGAAATGGCAAAAGCAGCTGCCGGTTCCTGTATTAGGACAAGTGAAAGCAGCGAAGGAAAATCTAATTCACCCAAAAATTCTCCAGTTTGTCCTGTAAAACCGACACCTGCACCTGTAAATAAGGTTTTAACTATTAATTGAATTATAAGTAATGAGAATAAATTCATACGTTTCTTTTATAGGATCATGGTGTTCCACCTCCTCCGCCACCACTTCCAAAGGTTCATGCATCCGAGGACAATCGAATATCTATCCAAAATAAAAGTTCACCAGCTAAAAGACAAGGTACATATTATGAACATTACTTTTTTTTTACAATAATTTGTCATGTTTTTTATACTTTTATGTTTCACAGTTGTAGGCAGTCCACCTAAAACGCAGCAAACGAAAGTAATATCTGACATTAAACGCATTCGCGTTGCACCACCTAAACCTGGACATATCTATCCTAATCTTTCTGATATTGATAATACAACGGAAACGGAAACAGATACAGAATATACTGTCAATAGCACAGAAGCAGAAACTGCGACTTTAGACGAAAAAACTGACACTGATACAGGGACTGAAGCTGAATACTATTTACAAGTAAAATAATTCTTTAAAACTATTTTGTAATGAAAAGAATTGTTAGATAGAAAAGGATTATGTTTAATATAATTTTTATAATCGACTGCGCTTACTTAAATATAGGATAATGGAACTGAAGATGACAGCGATGAAGAAAGCGGAGAATTAAATACTAGTCTTGGTAGAAGTATTTTACAGGCAGTAAATGAACATACCTATTTAAATAAGAAGGTATTTGTAAATAACTGTAGACTGGAACTCAGTTTATACAATTAAGTAACATACTGATTACACAATTTTAGAGATCAATTGACCCAGATCCAGACAGTACAACTTCCGATATTTCGGTATTGGATGAAATGGATGAATATTTGGATGAATGCCTTGCACTGCAAGAAGCAAATAATATAAATGCACATACAGAAGAGGGACCAACACCACCAAAGCTCAATAAAGGTGGGAAAAGTCCGTCCACTACATCAACGAGTTTTAAATATAATGAAGGGTAAGATTTACAAATTATAGCAACAGTGATATAAATACAATTTATAAATTAAATTATATATTACATTTTAAGGTCATCATATCGCTCACCTATAAAGAAAGTTTCTCCTGGGACTCCTAAACAAGGTGAACCTTATATAGTGGATGGTGACAATTGTGTGCCACTGTTGCATAGCGTTAGTTTTTACAGACGACAACAATCTCAGGTATGTTAATCGAATATTATAACCTATTCTATAAAGGCAAAACATATTTTATATTATAATGTATATTTTTAAATTGCTAAATCCCTACATCGTAAAATCCTTATATCCAAAAATTTCTATGTCTTCAGATCCTTATACTAATAAGGATGTACATGTATTATAATTGAAAATTAATTTTCGAACTTATTTCAGACGCCTAAAACACCAGTGCGTATAATATCGAGGACACAAGAAGTTGCTACCGCTCCTGATGAAACACAGCCTGACTCTAAAAACGAAGTTATTTTAGTACAAGACAAAGTAAAACGATTATTGGATGAAATATGTAAACAGCAAACAATTATTGGTCAGGCTAGTCAGGCACTAAATTTATGTAGTTCCACTGTGGAATTCAATGATTCAAGGGAGCAAGTTGAAGGAGAAAGATTGCTACTCGTTGCTAGTAATTCTTATATATTTTTTATTTGTTATATGTTATTTGAATAACACGATACATATAAATGTCTTCATTGTAGCACACAGACGGCAAGCTGCATTGAATGAAGTACAACGGTTGAAGATAGAAGGTACACTACGACCTGTTACTCCAGGATCACCAGAAGTACAAGAAAGTGGTGCTTTGACAGTTTCTGCTATCACGTTACCTCTTAAACGAGATTATTTCCGCAACGTGGGCAGAAGTAAGCAACACATTCAGATTTAAAATACTACAAAGAAGACAATAAATTATTTTTCATTTAACTGTATTTTGCAGATACATGTCATCATTTTGTCTGTTTAATGCGACATTTGGAAAACGTAGTCGCAACTCCAGTAGTCGTGGCAGAACCTGGCGATTCGTGTGTCCGATTTCCATCAACATTAAAACTGAATGATTTGTATAATGATTTTAAAATAACCATCGAGATATACTCGCTTCAGACACAACCTGAAATTTTGCCACATGAAATTAAATATCACATTCATAATAATAATGGATGTAGCAGTAGTAACACTGCTTGTAACAAAAAGGTAAGTTATACTATTTGTACTGACATATACATACATTCAGTTTTTATAGCAATTGCTTAAATATTTTGTAGTTAGCGAATAAAACTCCAAAGAAATATTTAAAACAAGAAAGTCGCTTAGTGATGCCAAGTGTACAAAGCCCAGCTGGACCATCTGCTGTTAGATCTCCCGCTTTTCAGTTGTCTGGTTATGTTATTTTCAGTTTGAAAGAAATACATCGGCAACAATTTACATTAAACAAGGTAAATAGAAACAATTTGATCAAGCAGATATTAAAGCTGCACTGTAATACTTTCTAATAATCATTTATTCAATATACGGTAATTGACTATTTTATACAATTTCTAGGTACCATCACAATCTCCTTTAGAAGGTCGATTGCAGATGCATGTTTCGTGCGAACTCTCAGTATCAGTTGAACACAGAGGATTTCTTACAATGTTTGAAGATGTTTCTGGTTTTGGTGCTTGGCACCGTAGATGGTGTTTGCTTAAAGGTTCTACTCTATCATACTGGAAATATCCTGATGATGAACGAAAAAAGACTCCTATCGGAAGTTTGGACTTACAATGTAATTGCTCGTGAATTTATTATAATACTATATAAAACATAAATGTACATTTATTTATTTGAATATTTATAGGTGTTTCCACAACTAACGTAGGATTAGTTTCTCGAGATATTTGTGCGCGTCCTAATACTTTTTTGCTTGAAACAACAAGGGCTGCAGAACCTGAAGATACTGATAGTTTAATTATGATTAGGAATGGATCTACAACAACAATTAGGTAAATACTGAACGCAAATATTTCATAAATATATGTAATTTCTTATTTAAATTTTGTTACTATGTGTACTTTACAGGCATCTGTTGTCAGCCGATACAAAGGAAGATAGGTTAGAATGGTGTTCAAAACTTAATAAAACATTGAACTTAATACATTCCTGGGGTGGAACATCGGTATTATCGTAACATAATTTAGATTAAACATAGACTACAAAGTATAGCGTATACAAGTACGCTTATATATTATTTTTATGCATATAAATTACTATACACAGCATTGTGTATATTGAATAATGTAATTATATAACTAATATGTACATCTAGTATATCTAATATGAATAATGTATATTCATACATTAAGATAAATTCTTTTTCTAAAAGTTGATATAACGTACGAAAGTTAGTATAATGAACTATTTTGTATTTTAAACGTAATACAATATCATTCGTATAAAAATTAAGAACTATTTAAATTATAACTTTTAGTTACATAATGAAAATGCTTTAATAGCAGTTAGTATGCATATTATATTTAAATGAATTGCATTTCTTTGCCATGTAGTCGAATAAAAATGATTTATTTTTAACTTGAATTTCTTCTATAGTATAGTAAAATTATTCAAATCAAGTTTACTGAATTATTTCTCATATTTAGATAAAAGCAACTTTATAATGAATTTAATAGTATTTTTTTAAATACAAAAGATGAATTGATACGTATTAAAATCTTTAAAAATATTATTCACTATAAACTAAACAATCAATGCATTAGAAGTATATATTATTTTAATTATAATATTTTTATATCATGTAATATAATATACTGTAAATAACAGAATGATTATAATCTATTAGAGTAGTTACTAACAAATATATAATTAAATATACATAAGTGTCATTAATTATGTATTTGTTATGAAAGCTAAGAATTTTGTAGCATTTTTTTACTTTTTTATCGTAAAAATTATCTTGTACCATTAATTAATATTCAAAATAAAATATTAACAAAAACCCTGTTGGTCAACTTCTCTGAACTATATTTAAACATATTATTATGAATATTTCTGTTAATATAGGAAGGTTTGAAATTTATAACACATGTTTATTTTATGTATATATTTATTGCGCGATTGGTTTCTTACTATGCATATAGAAGGGTATATGTATAAAAACGGTACTCATCTTCACGCGAGTTTTTAGGCGTGTAAATGAGTGCTACGTCGTCGCCTCTCTAAAAACTGATCATGAATAGTCTCTCGTTCAAAATGTTTAACAGTAATTTCTTGAAACTATATAGTATAACTTATCGTACACAGTGGCACGCGTTTCACAATCAAACATGAAATGCATACTATCATAGCTATGTAATATAAGTGAACATTGATGACTTTTTTATTATTTATATTTAAAGCGTATCATGCATAATTTTGAACATGTTTAGTTACATAATTTTTAAAAGAGTCTTTATGGTTGAAAATTTAATTTTAATACTTTCTTTGCCCCACATTGATTGTTACATTTATATATTTTTGTTTGATTATTGATAGCGCTTATTAAAATGTATATTTATTTGTCTGAGTAATATCGATTTTATAAAGAAACATTTGGAAATAAGAATAAAAATTTTAGAAATAGCATTTGACATATTTCACGTACTTTAGCTGATATTTTATATGTAATTAAAATTTGTCGAATACAGTAGCAGTTATTAAACCACTTCAATTTCAAGTTATCCACAAGTGTAACAACTACTTCAGAACAAATTTTATACCCTAAATGTAACAATTAATTTAGGATAGGGAAGTATTTATCTTTCTCGACTGCATGATTAAAAAATTTTTTTTTATCTGAACGTAGGGCAGCGATCATCTATTTTAAATCCAATACTCCCATTAAAAAGAAAGAATGGTTAAAGGTGATTAGCTTGTAAAGTGTGTGAATGAGAGCAAGTAAAATTTTGGAATTGATGATCAATATTCTAACAGTGAATCGCGTGCCTTACAATTATTTCAAGGTACGTATAAGATATTCTAATGTGTTTATACCGATGGTCGCAAAATCCTAGTGTTTATAATGCAGAACATCAGTTTCGATGTTTTACTTTGAAACAAGGTTTATGGTAGGATGAAATCCGTCCTTGTCGGCCGTGTAATCAACCCTTTAATAAAACAATTATTTTCATAAATGTAACAGGACTTTTATAATCTGTTTATTCTGCATGATTTGTAGTGCTTTACCTGTAAGTGTGACCATCTGGTGCTGTGAAGGAAAAACTACCAGTGACATCGATTGATTCATCATCGGTACCCTCATTTTTCAGTTCGCCAGTTTCCTCCCTCTTTTGGCCATCGCTTTGTTCGTAACTAAAGTGATATCCACCTACACCAATATTGTTTGATTCTTCTTGCTTTACGATTGTAATATCATTTGGATTGCCTTGTGGTGCTGCGAGAGCTGCCACTATCGCTGTCACGAAGATGAGGATCTGCGTAAACAGAGATTATATAAAAATTCATTATTTAAATCTATAGCTTTTCAAACTTGGGTCTCAACCAATATACTGATATTGGATGTTTTGATTAACTCTTATCTGGATAAACCTTTCATAAACGTAAATAGGCAGTTAGAATCCGATGCAATATATTAGTATGAATACTGATTTTTATAAATGGTAGGAACAGTTTATTTTTAGGAGATATTTTCAAAACTTTTTAGTACCGTTTAAAAAATTATCTACTAAATTATATGCATTGTTAAATGAATAGGAACTAGATTTGTGAGTCTATTTGACTCACCTTGATGATATAACGGTTATACCTAAAATATAAAAATTTGTATGCTAGTAAAATATTATTTTTATGGATTATGTAATAGTAAAGTAATGTCAATCCTACCTCGTTTTTAAATTTGTATTACGAACGAGTAGAAATAATTTGGACAGTTCTGTTCTATGTTATGAATTGAAAGAATGAAGTTTTTATTACAATTTGGTGTACGCATTTTTTAAATAATGTTTGTTAAATTTAATTGTTTATTATTGTTGAGAATAAAATGATTTTGTTGTAATAAGAGAAACAAACAATCGTCAATTTATCGATTTAATTCAGATCGAGTACAGTTATGTAAAAACCTAAAATGAATGTGAGGAAAACTTGTAATTTTATGTTATTTTTCGTACTATCTTAATTTTCTATATAATTGATTAATCAAACAATTAGTTTTTTTTAGTAAAAAATTATACTGAATTAAAATGAAATTATAATTACTATATTATGTATAACGATAATTATTAAAATAATTTGCTTTTTAAAATTTGTGTTTTTTAACAAGTTTTAAAAAATATATTTAATGAATTTTACGGAAAAGAAATTTAAAGAAATATACAATAAAAGAAGTGTTCAAACCTGTGGTTTCTTGTTTTAAAAGAGTATTACTTTATCATTGAGCTATTCTAATATTTTCCAACTGTCTTATTCAGTTTTTATTTAAATCTTCGGTGTTTAAAAAGCTTTGAACATAAATTATACCCTTACTCTTTATATTTGTTCATAAGAACTTCTATAAATGAAAATAACGTTGAAGATGCTTTGCTTGTAAAAATATTACTTACATAAGACATTTTTAAATATTATTCAAATAATGTATTCGAAAAATGCATATTTAAATGATATACTATTTCATCGGACTAAATGCTATTTGGAATAATTTTGCATGAATGCGTTTAAACATGAAAATAAATTTTTTCCCATTCTTTTATTATTTAACTATGAAAAGCAATAATTTTCTATTCTATATTTCAATAAATTTGTATTCAAGTAATTTTTTAAATTTTATCTAATTCGTTTATGTCAATGTTGTCAACTGTGATAGAAATACAGATTTCTGAAAATATTAAAATGTTATATCAATACATAAATTCCTCCTCATTTTTGAGAAATGTAGAAATAATTATAATATCTTTTCCTTTATTATCGTTGTAATTTCACAGGTACCTTTTTATTGCGCAAATTCAATTTGTGCACAAACGTGTCTATTTTTAATATAAAAAGAAACGAAAATTTATTTAGAATAATATGCATGAATCTATGGACTGACAACGAATAGTAAGTTTATTTCGATCCGAGTAAATTCAGCAAATACATTTATCTATAAAATCCAATTATGTAAAACAGAAGTTAACAATCGAAATAGTTTATTTGAATTCTGAAAGAGAAATAACTTAATTTTCCTACGCAATATAATTTATTTAACAGTAAATTTATATTGTAAAATAAAATTTATGTTTCTTAATATTCTTACCGTACGAAATTTTAATACTTCATTTACAATTTTGTTAAATAAAATGGATTATTTAATCACACGTATTATCGGTGCAAGGTTTTAGCATCCACCTCTAATTGGCGGGTCCATCTCGACAGCTATATTACATAAGTAACACGTAATCTGCCGATTGGAATGCTCGATCGTGACTTGAACTTGGACCTTTCAAGCAGTTGACTCTTTTACTGTCTGAATTATCCAAGTAAGCGACAAATTTAAATTCTAACAAGTCCAAAAGATTGTCAATTTATGTGAAGATAGGAATAATAAAATAATAAGATAAGTTAGATATACCCTTCCTTTAAAAAGAATAAAAAGTTCAGTTAATCTTTTGGAGGACTACAAAACCATTTTATGTTTAGATACTTCTAAATATAAATTTATAAAAGTATAGTTAGCAAATTATGGAGAAACAAGAATAATTCTGACACAATAATTTAAAGTGAAAGAAAACAAAGAAATAAATTAATAAACATGTATAGAATTAAAAAATATAAAAACATAAAAATTAAAAAAAATTTCGAATATTTTCGTATTTACTAACATGTTGTTTATAATAGTTCAATCATTGAAAATTCGGAGTTTGACTTCGCAATCAGCATGAAAAGTATTATAAGCAATGCACTTTTCCAAATGCATATCTACCAAACTATAGAAATTAAAGTAAAAATTATGAAATAAAAATTGCACGTTAAGAATAGGATATGGCGTATACAGTTATAATATAGCGTTAACAGTTTTTTCCAAATGAAAACGCTTTGGATAATTTTTCTTTAACCCCCATAGTTAAGAGGCTATCGATTTTTATCTCACCCTATAGGTTTTTAAAATAAACTTACAATTTATATACCATAGCATTTTCAAGCCCTCCAAAGGTTAAATAAAGCAGCAAGTTAGTAAGATGAGGCAGCTTCTGTTTAACACTAAACATACCGTTATATAATGTCCGCATTTTAAATAAAAAATAAAGACAAACAAATAAAGATCGAGAATGGTGTATACATAAATTGTTCGTCTGGATAAGAATCAGAAAAGTATCTTAAATTTCGTGATTTAAAATAAGAAACCTGAGATTTTAGTGTTAAACGTAAGATTTGAAAGATCTGTGCGTAACAACGAGGAAAAGACGTTCGTTTGCGAGGCGCGTAAGTAGAATACTCAGAAGCATCACGTAAGCTCAAATTTCGTGAGAAAAATGGCAGTTTTATTTAATCTCAGCCGCGACAGAATCTCAAAACGGACGTTTGTCATCGTCCGTCGGAATTATGATTAATCGTCGGTGCGTGGTAACGTCCCGCACGCACAAATGTCACAGTCCTCTTCACTTTCACTGTTACGTAAAAATTTCGGATTCTGGCTCCCAAAACGTGTTCCCAAAGAAACGATCGCGTGACGATCGCGAGACGATTTCTTAAGTCTCCGGAACCCACCGTCTTCATAGCGAGGACTCTTCGTGCAAACGATTCCTGTCCCTTTGTCCTTTAACGACGACCGATACTGATACCAAGGATACACGGTGCATCTGCCTTTATATAGTCGGAAAATCGCGGGTGTTGCATCCCCACCTGCATTGGACTCTGCCGAGATTCGCGGATCGGTCTCTCCCCTAGCGCTACTAGGATGCATCCAAGATGTGCAATGGTGCAAGTGTCTCTCGTAGAGATACGTCTGCATTCTTTGTTCGGCGTTGTTTATTCGCCGTTGTAAATATTAGCAAGGCTTCGTGTACAGCGAGGGGAACAAGTACGCTCTCGAATGGAATAACTTCATGAATTTTTGGAAAATGCAGCGAACACGAGGTCTTTTCGGAAGATGGAGAGATTGGTTTGTAGGAGGCACTTTTGGAGTTCTGAGAAGATAGCGAAGGTCAGGAGACGATGCAAGTCTTCTCGAGAGCGAAATTCGGGAATTTTTTAATTTAGGGGTAAGGAAGTTTGGAATTTAGGAATTTTGGAGATTGTGGAAATTTTTTTGATTTGAGAAACCTCGGAAATTTTTGAATGTAGGAATTAAATAATTCGAGAATTCAAAGATTTTGAGATTTGGGAATGTGGAAATTTTTGATAATTTTGAAATTTGTGAAATTATGGAAGTTGTGGGTTTGAAAGTTTTGGGACTTGTGAATTTGAGAATTTTTGGAATTTTGGAAATTTTAGGAATTTTAAGAGTTTTCGAAGTTTGAGAATGTAAGGATTAAATAATTTTCAAATTTATGAAATTTTGGAGTTTGAGGATTTGGAAACTTAAAAATTTGAGGATGTTTTGGAAATTTAGGAATATGAAAATTTATGGATTTGAGAAATTGGGGAAGGCAATTGAAGTATTTTACTTTTAAAATATTTTTACTTCTTAAATATAACAAATTCAATGAAATTCTGTCTTTGATTGTACTTTATTTAACAAATAAAATGGTGGTCTTTTTTTACAAAAGTCTTGATTCATTTCATAAGTAGTTAATTTACGAGTAGTGTAGAAATAGAGGATATAGTACAACATAAATAAAATGTGAACTTTAATTGGAAAAAAATATTTAAAAAATTTTTTGATTTCTTTTATTCTTTTTGGAGGACGTCAGGATCCCTTAGTCACCATTTAAAATTTACTTATTTCGTATGAACCCAGATAGGGAAAAATTGTACGAGCCAAGAATGACAGTCGAAAAGTGATTCTTGATGCACTGTACAATATAATTTTAAATTTGAAATCGGATTTTAGATTTTAAATGAATCTATTTAAAAATCTCTCTAAATATTATATACAAATAAAAATTGATGATTTGCCAAATAAATTGTATTTAATATTTTTAACATATAACGTGTTTCGTTTCTATTATATTACTAGTGTCTCTCATTATTGTGGATACAAAAATATATCGAAAAAAATAACAACATTTTCTTATGTTTGTCTTTGATCTTAAGAAAATTGAATTTAAACGTTCTTAACAATATTTATAAAAGAATTCGTTTACGGTAATATAAATGACAATTTCAACACTTATTTGGTTAATTCAACAATTAATAAGTATTATAATTAATAAATGTAATTATTAATCAAATAACTGTTATCAGACAGTATTATATTGGATGTGGTTACTTATGTACATATTCATTATATTTGTAACTAAATATATTAGTATATAAACAATATCACGAAGAATAATTGATAATGTATTTGAATGGTTTTAATATTTACTTTCATTAATTTATAATATCAAATTATTAATGTAACCCTTAACGATTACATTTCATGAGAATAACGTACCTGGAACACTAGGACGTCTGAGACCTCAGTCTCTAAAACATGTTGCACAGAATGAAAATAATGAATGAATAATGAATGAAGTTGTTTTATCTGTTATAGTTGATTTTGGTAAATTTAAACGTTGAATATTAACAAACTTCAAAAACGTGAAATAATTAAAAGAATGACGAATTGTAGGGAAAAATACAAAATTTTGTTCAATTTTCATACAAAGAGTTAAGTTTTAATTGAAAACTTTTGAAATATAACAGTTTGAGGAAAAAAATAGTAAAAATATCACGATTTTAAAAAAGGTATTTATTCAAACTTTTAGGACATAAAATTATTAAAATTAAAGCCAAATTAAATAATTAATTAAATTAAACAAATAATGTAGCCATTTCACATCCTAGTGTGACTGTTAAGGGTTAACGAAGAAGATGTTAAAATTTCTATTTTTCGTATCGTAAACTTTGCTTACAAGTATATACAAAATTTTCAAATTAACTTTTCAAAATTAATTTTTTGAAATAAAGCCGAATATTATCATTCGAACCAAAAAGCAGAAAAATATCATTTATTCTTTTGATTTATTTTCTGAATACAGAAACCAGACCGTTCGTATCACGATTGCTACACCCTGTATACAATACCGAAACGCATGTTTTCCTTCAAGACTTTTACTTTTCTCCTTCAATAGAAACGTGTTTGATATACGGCTTAATTGACTATGCACATCGTAAATCAACAGACTACTCGATCGTTCAGCAGCTCCTAAATCGAAGGACCTCTCTAAAGCTGACGGGTAAACAGCAATTCTTAAATTTACCACGAGTAACGTTTGTAAATTATCCCTGTCGTTAGATCTGATCGGTTATTTCGCAAATGTCACATCGCCTCGATAAACGCTCAGAGAATCGTTCGATCGATTAAGGATTATGTTAACAGCTTTTCGAATGTGTCCCTGAAATCCACGCAAGAGTCGCTTTAATGGAATTGGCTGCGTCGTCGTTCAACTCGAAAGTATTCTCGGTCAAAATGGCATTTGTGTACTCGCCTTTCGTGCCATTCAGATATTACAATGAAACGTATCTTTCAGGTGGACTTTGCCGTAAGAACTTCGTCAGCAATGCCAAGGACCTTTCATCTCGGTAAAGAGACGATTGTTCCTGTTCGCATAGTATGTTAGTCTAGTCACGTCAAGTTCATCTATGTTTAGATCACAATAACACAATACACACATATACACCATGATTCTTGCAAATTAAGTCCTGTTAAATACCATTTCTCGTATTTGGAAATCGTAAAGTAAATATCTCACAGACTTTACGTTTCTTCTACGTTATTTATAGGGCGTTCACTCCAACATCCCGATAGCCAAAATCCCGACAACCAAAATTTTGACTAACTTTACCTAAACTGCGTTTGACGAATATACCCGCTATTTGAAACTCTGCCTGTTGTGCATGCGATGAGTGTACTCGGGATTATATCTGTCGGGACTTTTGTTGTCAAGATTTGAGTGCCATATTAATAAATTACTTTTTTTCCCGATAGTTCGATTGTGATGTGTTCGTTATGCTTGGTTATCGATGTGTGTTGCCTTCATAAATTTTGATGAATCTTTTTTTTAAATAATTTTCCAACGGCTTCCAGAAATCTTTCTACTTTACATCTTTTTAAGTTTATAAATTTTTAAATTTTTATATTTTATGGCTTTCGAATTTATTAATCTTCAAACTTCAAATTTTTCAAATTTTGAAGTTTCAAAATTTTCTTAGTTAAATATTTTAAACTTAGAATTTAGAAGTTTTGAAATTTACAAATTTAGGAATTTGGAAGTTCGGAAATTCTGCGATGTATGAACTTTGACATTTTTGAAAGTTCGAATTTTCTGATTTACAAATTTACTGATTTTTTAATTTACAAATTTGCGGATTATTTAATTTACAAATTAGATAAGACTTTCCTTTTACAGACTTTCTGATTTACAAATTTACAGATCTTTTCATTTACAAATTTACAGATTTTCTAATTTAGTAATTTATTAATTTTTTTATTTACTAATTCACAGTTATTATTTTTTACAAATTTGCGAATTTACAGATATTGCAATTTACAAACCGAACAACTTTGAAACTCTCAAATTTTCAAATTTGTAAAATTTTAAAGTTTTTAAAATTTTAAAGTTTTTAAACTGTCAGATTAAAAAATTCTCAACTCCTGATTTTCAAAAATTTACACCCAGCAGTGCTTAACCGTTCGTTGCATGGTCATGAAGTATAGCCAAGCGTTTGTTTTGGTCCTACATTATATGGTCATACCTAAAGTCTCCACGCGATGTATAGCCACACATTATATGGCCAAACGTTGCCATGCATTATATAATCAGGTGTTGTATAACTACACTTATAAATTGCATGAGTTTACAGTTGATAAGTTCTGTCCAGTGTATTGTATTGATGGTGGAAAGTGACCTGAGAAATCTTAAGGTCAACTGTAATTAGGTCGTGATGATGGACTAATGACTGGATTTGTAACAGGTTCATTACTTAATGAGTTTACAGATGTTGAAAATACAAATTTAGATTTCAGAGATATAGCGTTTTTATGAATTCATAAAAGTATATAATAGTTGTATTATAGTAAACGTGTTTTTACTTTGGGTATATTACAGCAAAAGTATTTTACTCTAGGTATATTGAAGTAGAAGTATTTTATTCTAGGCATGTTGCAGTAAAAGTATTTTATTCTTGGTAGATTACAATAAAAGTATTTTCCTATAATTTTACTATAGTGACTCTGTTTTATTATAGTTTCATCATAGCTTTACGATGATAAAAATATTTTATTATCGCTATGCTACAATAAAAATATTTCACTATATAGTTTTACTATAGTAAAAGTGTTTTAATTTAGTCATGTTATAGTATAACCGTTTTATTATGTTTTTATCATAGTACCAATGTTTTATGACAATTTTATTACAGTATAAATATTTTATTACAATTTTATCATAAAAAAGTTTTTTATCATACTTCTATCATTGTTTTCATACAGTTTTTTCATACTTTTATCGTAGAGAATTTTGTTATCATAGTATTACTACAGCAAAAATACTTTATCATAGTTTTATAACAGTAAAAATATTTTATTGTAGCTTTACCATCGTAAAATTTTCCTGCAGCTATATCATAAATCAAAAGTTCGATTATATTTTCACCATAAAACTCTTTTGCCATAGTTTTATCATAATCAGAGTATTTTGCTGTACTTT